TGTACCCCAATGTTCATAGCAGCACTCTCCACAATAGCTAAAACATGGAAAGAGCCTAAGTGTCCATCAACAGATGAATGGATCAAGAAGATGTGGTTTATCTATACCATGGAATACTACATGGCAATGAGAAACAATGAAATCTGGCCACGTGTAGCTACATGGATGGACCTTGAGGGTGCTATGCTGAGCGAAATAAGTCAGGCAGAGAAGGACAAATACCATATGTTTGCACGTATAGGAGGATAAGAGGAACTTAACGGAGGACCATGGGGGAGAAGAAGGGGGGAAATGGTGGGGGAAAGGGAGAGAGGCAAACCATGAGAGACTCTTGAATGCTGACAAAAACTGAGGACTGATGGATGTGGGGGGGAGGGGGGGATGGGCATGCAGGAGGGCACTTGTGGGGATGAGCACTGGGTGTTACATGGAAACCAATTTGACAATAAACTATTTGTAAAAAAAAAAAAAAAAAAAATTCTGACACGCTGCAACATGGCTGACACTTGAAGACATTATGCCAAGTGACATAAGCCAGACCCAAAATGACAAATACTGTAGGACTTTTATGACACAAACAGATTCATAGCGACAGAAGAACAGTGGTTGCCAGGGGGTGAGGGGAGGGCAGAATAGGGGGTGGTCATTTGGTGGAGGTAGAATTTCAGTTCGGGAAGATGGAAAAAGCTCTGGGGATTCAGGGGGAAAACTGGGGGGATTGCCAGTTTTTCTAAAGAAGAGTAAAGCATGGAATGGGTTTGGAGGTAGTGTTTTAAATGGCAGGGTTAGGAAAGACCTCGCTGCGAGGGTATGCGGGAGGTCCCTGTGGATGTCTAGGGGATGAGTGTTCCACGCTGAAGGGACAGCACACACAAAGGCCCTGAGGCCAGATCTTGCAGGGAGCGTTGGAGGCAGTGCTAGCGGGCCGGTGTGGCTGGAGCTGAGAAAGGGAGGGAGCAAAGAGCTGGAGATGAACACGGCAGGGGAGGGGTGATGGTGATAGATGGAGACAGCTGGAAAAAAAGTCCCTGGTGCTGCATGCAAACACACACACCCCGATTGTCCCCACACACACCCTCACACACTCATCCCCTCTGAGTTCACATCCCGAAACCACCCAAATAGAGAACCAACTTGGCAGGAGCTGGGATTTGGCGCCCTCTGGTGGAATAACATGAGAAATGCCTAATCCAGACCACGAGCAATCCCAGAGGGCGGTGGATGAGGAATCTCAGCACACATACACCCCCCGCCCCCCTCCCAGACCCGTCCCCTCCGGACAAGGAGGAGCACTTGCCAGAAGCCACACAGCGAACTAGAACCTTACGCCCTGACAGCTACTGATGGAGAGAGCGGGTCCTCACCTTTCTATCGGCCAGGCCTGGAGAATCCTGGAGACACGCCCTCCTGGGACCACCTCTGGGGTCTCGATGGTAATCTCACCAGCTACCTAACTATACTGCAGATCTCCTTCCGCAACGCTCAATAGTTTCCGCTGGGCAAGGGCCAAATTTTTCTCACCTTTCTAGTCATGGTGGCTTATCATCAGAAGAGTTTCAGAGTTGTCTGTATTACATTAATTCTAGTCTCCCTGTGCAATCCTGGGCAAGTTAATTAACCATCCTGGGCTGTCCAATGGGCGCAGCTTGTCCCCCTGAAGCATCTCACAGGTACAACGGAGGCGGTCATGACGTGCCAAGCACAGAACTGGTCCTGGAGGCCAAGTGTCGTGGAATTCTTCTCAGAGGAGGTGATGTCTCTGCAGGGTTTTAACGGTGCTGTAGGAGTTTTCCAGGTGCCATGGCTGGGGGGAACATTCCACGCGGAGGCATAGGAACCTGGAAGAACACGTTGAGAAGGTCCAGAAGCACCCGGTGCCCCTGAAGCATAGTGCGGCGGCTTTCCACCACATGGGCTTAGCTAAGCTGGGTGCTGCTGTGGCTCCCACAGTGTCGCCGGGTGGCTGGCGGCCACCGCTGGCTCGGGCACAGACCATCCAGCGGCACCTCCATGTCTCCTTCGGCTTCTGAGACCCGGACCAGTTATGTGTGCAGCCAGCTCCTCAGGCAGGTCACCACGTCACTGAGGTGGGAGGTGACAGACTCAGTGCCACCCTGTGCCCACGGTTTCCAGTCTGCCCTTACCCCCCCCTCCCCGCCCCCGTTCACATCTGCTTTTTTCTGTGACAGCCAGCCCTGCCCACCCAGGGGCCCACCCAGGGGCACAGGCTTCCCCGGACTTCTTCACCAGCGCCTACAGCCGGTCTGACCCCCACAGGATATGCCTGCTGCCCAGCCCTCAGGGTGACCAAACCCAAACACAGACGGAAAAGAGTGAAACAGAGACGGAAAAGAAGAAGCTCGGGTCTGGAGCTGATCACAGAACACTCTGGAAGGCCTGCTCCACACCTTCAACTTCGTTCCCCTCCAGGTCCTTCTGGCTGAGAATGCACAGCTCCTGGGTGCTGCACCCACCCCTGAATTGTGTAAGACGGAAGTCGTGCTCTTTGTCGTGGAGTCTGTGGACATGAGGACACTTCCAGCTACACGGTGCTCCCATGAAGAGCTCTGGTGCAGGAAACACTACCTCAGGCACTCTGAGCCGCCCCCCCTCCATCCCTGGGCACACCTGGGTCCTCACAGCCGTTGGCCTGACCGTCCCCACTTTGCTGCAAGGAAACCGCAGCTCAGAGACCCAGGTGGGGACTCAGCCCAAAGACGCACACCTGCAAAACAGTAATGGGCGTCCCTAGTCTTGGGGGTTAGAGACGGGACTTCCAGTCCCAGCCACATCATAAGAGGAAACCGGAAGGAAAGTAGGGCGCCCTTGTGTGCTAGGGTGGGGCAACAGAGCGACCTTCTCCCCGACGTCCCCAAACTCCCTCCCCGTCTCCTTCCTGGCCGGTCAGGAACGTGGGGGATGAGGAAGGATGGGTTGTTCATGGCTTTCAAGGGCCCTAACGACCACCAGACCCCACAGGGCTTCAGGGGACACGATGCACCTGGCTCTCCTCCGGACATCTGGGGGGCAGGGCTGCCCTGGAGGTGCAGTAGCTTGTCATCCCCCTCGAGAACCCACTGCTCTATTCTCAGAATTTTATTGTTAAAAACAATCATTACCAAAATTAGTGAAGCTCTTTAAAAGCAAAGGTAATAAGTAATCAGAACTCAATCATTACCTGATTCCTTACGACGTTTCACCGTGAATCCATGCACTTCCGTTTCTTCCGGCGTCCATCCCACAGCAGCACCAGCTACTGGGCAGAAGCACGTCTCTTTGTAAGTGATCTCAGCGACACCACGCTCAGAGCTCGTGACTGGCCGTGGGGGGAGGATGTCCTCCCAGATATGAGCAAACTCCATCTATTGCTTTCTTGATCATGTAGAATTAAGAAAGTGGTGGAGGAAATGGGAATAATACAAATTAAATTTAAAACTTTGGTATTGGTAGCCACTATGCCGTAACTAGAACAGAAATATGAGGAGAGAGTCTTTCCACATCCAACCAACCATTAGCCAGCTCGGCAAAGAAGTCACTGCCGCATGCATGGACAGGGACATCGTGACAGAGTCTCCATCGGTTAGGTTTTTTTCTTACTCATTAACATAAACAAAAACATTGGCATGGGGCGCCTGGGTGGCTACCCAGGTTGATGGTTGAGCGTCTACTCCTGATTTCGACTCAGGGAATGACCCCAGGGTCATGGGACCAAGCCCCATGTCAGGCTCCACACTGAGCATAGAGCCTGCTTAAGATTCTCTCGGGCACATCAGTGGCTCAGTTGGTTGAGCGTCCAACTTCAGCTCGTGTCATCAACTCACAGTTTGTGACTTCAATCCCCACGTCGGGCTCTCTGTTGTCAGTGCAGAGCCTGCTTCAGATCCTCTGTCTCCCTCTCTCTCTGCCCTTCCCCTGCTCACCCTCTCAAAACTAAATAAAAACATCTTTTTAATTTTTTTAATGTTTTTATTTATTTCTAGGAGAGAGAGAGAGACAGCGTGAGCAAGGGAGGGTCAGAGAGAGAGGGAAACACAGACTCTGAAATAGGCTCCAGGCTCTGAGCTGGCAGTCAGCACAGAGCCCGACCCGGGGCTCGAACCCATGAACCGCGAGATCATGACCCAAGCAAAAGTCGGACGCTTAACCGACTAAGCCACCCAGGCGCCCCTAAATAAAAACATTTTTTAAAAAAAGATTCCCTCTCTCCCTCTGCCCCTGCTTGCATGTACACACACACTCTATAAAAATTTAAAAAATTTAATTAAAAATTTTAGAAAACCTCGGCTAACATTCCTATCAGAGCTGCACTCATTTCTCCGTAATGTGAGTGACATCTCTAACTGATTGGAATAGGGGGTTAAGTTCTCATTTGTACACTACGGGCTATATATACATCCTTTATGCAGGTTACTTTATAATGGGGGGGAAGAAAGGGGGTGCACTCTTCCCCCAAAGAGCTGGTAACCCCCTCGCAGCCCCCTGCTCCAGGCCACCTCTTCGGTCGGCTTGGGCCATCCCCGAGCTTCCTTTGTGGAGAGCTGGTCTGCAAATCTTCATTTAAAAAATAAATAATGTCCTTATGGCCCATTTGGGAGCAAACAGTTAAAGTGTCAATGAATGTTGTTGGGTATCTGTCATAGCACCGAGGGCAGGCCCTGGCTCGGTGACGAGGGGGATTTGTTGTGGGTAGCATCTGACTGTCCCTTCGGTGCGCTGGTCTCAGGGGCTTAGAGCAGGCTCCCAGCTCCCTGAAGTCTGCAAGTGCATCATGGACACAGTTCAATGTCAACAATGCAAACCGATCTCTTTATCCACCCCCCTCCCCCACACGTCCCCTGGAAACCCTCTAATTCCCCACAGCACCTGCTAACTTAACTTACAAACAAAACACTTAGCTCTCACCAGGGTCTGATGAATTCCAGCCAGTGCCACTAACAGTCATACGGAGACGTACATTCTTAGAGGGTCTAAGACCTTCTATCATGTTGCTGCCCAGCAGGATCACAAAGCCGATAGTACCTTCATTTCACTGATAGAGAAACTGACCTCAGATGCGGCAGGTAACTCGCCGGAAGTTCCAGAAGCCATGATTTCCCCTCAATCCTGTCGCCCGTGGCTGGCCGTGTAGTGCTTCCCCTCTTCCCTGCGGGGCCGCGGGGTCACAGGTGTGGTGACCAAGCAGGATGCTCGTGGTAAGATGTCGCCTACAGGGAGGCTGGGGGCAGACGTGCAGCTGTTTGGGAGAAGCAGGGGGCAGGATGTTAGGGGCCACGGGAGTGCAGTGAGTGAACGGTTCATCAGGAAAGGTTGGCAGGCATTAGATTTGGGAGCCTGTGCAGGCCAGACAGGAGCAAGTCTATCCCTGCGCTGGGGCCGGGCCGGAAGGGATGGCACAGGCCGGTCCCTTTCCCTGGGGGTGCACAGCAGGGACCTGCTGGCTGCTGTGTGGCCCGGTCCCCTTGCACCTGGATTGTTCCTGGCGCCACGGCATCTAGTAAGTTACCTAATCTCATGGCGTCTCAGGGGCATCACTTGAAAAGTGGAGACCATGACCGTGCTTGCCTTCCGAAGCTGGCCCTGAAGCACGAGAGAGACAGAGAGAGACAAGACCGAGCAAGCGAGCGAGCGAGCTAGAGAGCAGGTGAGGTGCGCAGGACAGCTGGCTCCTGGCCGGGGAGACACCCCACGGCGTGAGCAGGCCCCTCCAGGGAAGTCTCAGGGGCCCACATCCACTCTCTTGTCCCCGTAGGAACTCACGGGGGCTCTGTGGCACCTGGCTGTGGCGGCCTTCTCCCGCCCAGGCCGGCGTGCTGGGTGCATCCGTGATACCCTACAGCCACCTGGTGGGCCGTATGGGAACAGAGCAACTCCTACAAACTCCCGACTCTGCTCCTAGAGCAAAATGCTGGTGTAGATCCACTCCCCACAGATGGGGCTGCGTTCTCCAAATTTCTCTTTCTTTAATAAAAAAAAGAGAGTCATTTAGTGTTCCCTTGGCTTATCTATAGTGGGTGAGATGCGGGGGGGGGGGGGCAGGGGAGAATAAATCCTTCCCATTTTACTGCTTGGCTCAAGTTGCTTGCATTAAAAAACAGATTAGGTGGAAAGAAAACAACAGCCTGGGGCCTGAGATGGGAGAGGGTCTCCAATGACTCGGCCCCACATTCCAGAACCTTCCATCCCGTGCAATAGCTCTCACTGGCCAGGGTGCCAGGAGTCCCAGCCAATCTGGCCAGGAGGTAATGTGCTTCCTGGGTGGGCAGTCACAGCTCTGGGCACCCGTGAGCCCCAAGTACAGCTCACGCTGCTGAGGTGGGGACATCCATCTGCTTGGTGGGTGTTGGATGCGACGCCCAGACGCCCCCCGCAGGAATGGCCAATGCGCGGTTTCCCAGTGGAACCAGGCTTACAAGGAGCATCCTAGGCACTAGGCTGGAGCACGCGCACCACCCAGGGCACATGCACGCGCCCTCCCTGTTCTCAGAGTCCCCATTTCAGGGACCAACTGCAGCTGCAGTCACCCAGCCACCAAGAAATAAGGCAAGTGGAAATGGAATTCTTAAAAGTGGACTCTAAATGAACCAAGAGAATTTACACTGGAGAAGAGTCGAGCCAACTAACGCCTTTTACTAAACAGTGGCAGATCTGATGATCCATGGAGGTAAATGGAACGTTTGAGTTTGAGTTCTTTATTTAGATTATGGTCATTCAGTCAACAAGCAGTTACTCAGTATTGGTAGTGTGCCAGGAGCTGTGAACTAAACAAAACCCCTGCCCTCCTGCAATTTATATGTTAATGGGAAAGAGACAAAAACCAAGCAAGTTAAATAAGTAAAATATATAGTTAAGTTACGGTGTGTGCTAGGGATAAATATTAAGCAACAGAAGGCTGGGGGTGCCGGAGGATTGCAGTTTCGGAGAGGGCGCCCAGGAAAGGCCTCACTGAGAAGGGAACAGGGGAGGGGGGGCAAAACACAGCGATTTCAGAAAGCATTCCAGGCAAGGAGATGGCAGGTGCAAATGTCCTGGGGTGGGATCAGACACAGCGAGGCAGTCAGAGCAAAGGGCAGAAGGGAGGCAGAGGGTAAGACCATCAAGTCAGAGATAACCCTAAGCGACATATGTGGGTCCCTGTAAGTGACCAAGGATTCTGGCTTTTATTCTGCATCAGGGAGACTTTGGAGGGTTTTGAGCAGAGGAGGAAATTGATCCGAATTAGATTTTAATAGGATCACTCTGCCTGCTGCCAAGGAGAAGGGACTGAGGAAAAATGCAGATCTTTGATTGTTGCCTCTTTCTTTCTCTCATATCCAGTTAGCCCAAATGTTCTGTCAGTTCTGCCTCCGAAGTAGCTAGTTCCCCCAACTGGGTTCTCAGGGCCATCCTTCTCCATCGTATTAGCCAAGTCCTTACTTAAAATCAATGTTTAATCCCGGGGCTCTTGGGTGGCTCAGTCGGTTAAGTGTCTGACTTTGGCTCAGGTCATGATCTCATGGTGAGTTCGAGCTCCACGTGGGGCTCCGTGCTGACAGCTCACAGTCTCGAGCCTGCTTCAGATTCTTTGTTTCCCACACTATCTCTCTCTCTCCCACAAATAAACATTTAAAAAATTGTTTTAATAAAATCAATGTTTAAGGTGAATATATAAGCAATTTTTCTGATTCCAAAAGTATTGTAAATTCCTGTGAAATGTTGGAAAAATTTAGACAAGTAGAAAAAAGGGCCGCCTGGGTGGCTCAGTAAGTTGAGCATCCGACTTCAGCTCAGGTCATGATCTTGTGTTCATGGGTTCGAGCCCTACATCGGGCTCTGTGCTGACAGCTCAGAGCCTGGAGCCTGTAGTGGATTCTGTCTGTCTGTCTGTCTCTCTCTCTCTCTCTTCCCCTTTCCCAATCTTGCTCTATCTCTGTCTCTGTCTCTCTCAAAAATAAACATTAAAAAAAATTTTTTAAGGTAGAAAAGAGAATGGCAATCACACAAAATCTCAGCACCTAGACAGAATCACTATAAACATTTTGCTACCATTCTGTTCAGACTGTGTATTGTGTATGTGCTAGATTTCCTAGATTCCCCCCCCTTTTTTTACTCACATTACATTGTAAACTCTTCCCCGTGTCATTAGGGATTTCTTTGAAAACACTTTTTAATGGCTACACATTATTCTATCACATTTGCCATTTTAAGTTTTAATACAAGAAGTTTTAACTAGGCTGCTTTCTGGATATTAGGCTGATTTCAATTTTCTCTTGCTATTTTTTTATTTTTTTTTTTTAATGTTTTTTAACTTTTGAGAGAGAGAGAGAGAGCGAGCATGAGCAGGGGAGGGGCAGAGACAGAGAGGGAGACACAGAATTTGAAACAGGCTGCAGGCTCTGAGCTGTCCACAGAGCCCATCATGGAGCTTGAACTCGGGAACGGTGAGATCATGACCTGAGCCGACGTGGGACGCTCAACCGACTGAGCCACCCGGGCGCCCCTCTCTTGCTATTTTTCAATTGTACTGCAATTCTTGTCTTTGTTCTTAAATCCCGTCCTGATAGTGTTAGCAGTAACATCTCCTCAGGGATGGAGATTTCCAGTTTCTTCCACTCGGAACCCCGCCCCCTGGGACCTGGGAGCCCTTTGCGGGGGGGGGGTCCGCCCCAATTGCCTCAGCCTGGCCTCCCAGGGCCCCTGCAAGCCTGGCCCTAACTCGTGTCCCGCACCATCTCCGGCAGCCCCTCCCTGCTTCTGGAGCCACGTGTCGTGCGAACAAGCTCCTCCCAGCACCAGCACTCCGTCCTCCGCCTGTAACACCGGCCACCCCGTTCCTGCCAGGGAAGCCCCCTGCGGTCCTCCGTGTCCCACCCAGAGCGACTGGCCCGCTGCCCTGTGACGCCTCCGGTGCGCGTTACAGCCGGCGTCGCAGCACGCGGATGCGCCTCTTCGCGGCCTCTCTGCCCGGCTGTTCCGGGGGTGCCCTGGGGGGGGCGCCGCGTCTGCCTTGCTCACTGGCCTGCTGGGCCCGCAGCACCGACACAGCACGCGCTGCGTTGCAGGAATGGTCACCACGCGCTAGCGGCTTACGAGCGCGGCAGGGACCTCACTGGCTGAGGTCAGCGACCCCACCTCCTGTATGCATGCGGCTGTGCAGGAGCCGCGTCTGAATCTGACCACGTGACTTCTGCGGTGTCCTCCTCAGAACAAGCCACCACCCACCGCGTCACCACCTCACCAGCGCCTGGATAATGGCGGCAACCTCCAGTCTCCTGCCCTCCTCCTCCCCCTCTGAGCAGCAGCCGACAGAACCCATTAGCAGAACAAAATCACGTTAACCCCCCTGCTCATATCCTTGTAAATGGGTTCCCTCCCGCAGAGACTTAAAAACCAAGAACCCTGGCCTCCTCGGACCTGTTTTCCCATCAAATGCTCCCGTGCTCTCTCCATCCCGACCAGAACACGCCATGAACACATACCATGAACACTCCTGCCCCAGGGCCTTTGCTCTTGCTGTGCTCGCCCCCAGGGTCCCTGGGGTCCCCCTCTCACCTCAGTCAGGTCTCTGCTGACAGGTCACCTGAGCAAAGAGGATTTCTCGGAGCGGGTGGTCTGAGAGGATGCAGCAAGGCCTCATCTGTTGTCTCTGTCTGGGGGCGGGGGCACTGGTCACCTCCCGTCCTTTCATTGTGCTTTATTCCCCTTCAGAGTCCTTATCACCCGTGCTGTTATCTTAATCCTGTATTACCTGGCCCCTCTCACTCAGATAGAAGCTCTCGGAGCACAAGGACGGGAGGTGTTTTGTTCTCGGCTCCATCCCCAGTTGCTGGAACCCCACCCAACCTCCCAAGTTGTCACTTGGTAAATAACTGCCATGAGAGCGAGTGAATGAAGGGGAACGAAGGGGAACCGAGGTGACCTCTTCTATCCCGCAGGATGAGGAGGGGCTTAGATCTCCAGGCAGAACAAGGAGTTCTGGAAGATGACCACGGTCTAGGCAGAACCCCTGTTCTAAGTGCCGTGGCGGAGATAAATTCGGAAGTCGCCCTCGGGCACTGTGGTGGTTTTAAAGCTACACGCAAACGTTCTTGGAAACAACCGCCCCTCAAAGGGCACAGCTGAATTCCCCTCCCCAGATTGTGGGCTGGACTTCGTGGCTTGCTTCTAATGAATAGAAATGGTGGAACGTCACTCCCAAGGTACGACTTAAGAAACCCACGGCTTCTGTGCCAGGGGTCTCTCCAGCTTTTCTCTGTCTCTCTGATCACACGCTGGTTACCGTGTTGTGAGCCTCCGTGTAGACAGGTCTACACCGTAAGGAACTGAAGTCTCTAGCCAGCTACCAGTGACAAACTCCACAGCCACAGGAGTGAGCCTGGAAGCCGACCCGGAGTCCCAGGTGACCCTTCGCCTGGCTGCCGCTTTAGCTGACTGTTCCACAGCAACCCCAGGATGGCCCCAACACCAGTCCCATCCATCCAAGCTGCTCCCAGATTCCTGACTCTCGGAGCCACGATGTAGTAACTATTTGTTGTTTGAGGTTGACTGGTTACACAGCAATAGGTGACTGACACAGCCAGCACACTTGGTCCATCTGCCCACGGTACGTCATCCTGCATAACCAGTGCTGGCCTTTCCAGGTGGCTTTCTGCAATACCAGCTCCTGAACTGGCTGCTCGGGGGAGACGCCGGGAAGAGCACATGGCCAGTCCCTTCTGGGCACTAACAATGCCGTGTGTGTGCGGTGAAAGGGACGGGGCTTCCGGGTTGGACTCGGCTGGATTTAATCTCACCAACTGTGTGAGCTGAAGCAAGTACTGTAAGAACTCAGAAACTCCTTTTTATCATTTAGAAAATGGTAATAGTAAGGCAGTCAGGCACGTGGTAGACTCCAGAGATAAATCCTGCCAAGTGCTAAGCATCAGCGATGCATGCCATT